TAACGCTGTCCATACGCTGAGTCCCCCCCACCCCCACCCCCCCGTCAGACCAGAGGCACCATGGGAAACCGCGGCATGGAGGATCTGATCCCGCTGGTCAACCGGCTGCAGGATGCCTTCAGCTCCATCGGCCAGGCCTGCAACCTGGACCTGCCGCAGATCGCGGTGGTCGGAGGTCAGAGCGCGGGGAAGAGCTCCGTGCTGGAGAACTTTGTGGGCAGGTAAACAAACAAACAAACAAACAAACAAACAAACAAACAAACAAACAAACAAACAACTAAGTGACCACCTGTAGGATAATCCCTTTAACCTTGAGGATGACATAAGAGGCCTACAGAGTCAATCTGGCCACAAAGTTCAAAGCATCTTCCTCAGGTCCGGCTCTGAGCTCAGACCAAAACTGGATCTGGGTTCCAGCAGCACCTGTGGGCGGGGTTTTGGTTCAGTCAGCAAAAGTGAAGGGACCAAGTAAGGGGTCTCTGCGGACGAGTGGGCGTGTAACAATGAAAGGCAATTCTAAAGCGACACACCTGATTTGACGGACTTTGTTAAAGGGACACACCTGTTTGGACAAGCAAAAAAGGGGTGTTACCGTACGGCACCACCAGATTGGACAAGAACAAAAGGGGCGTTACTGTACGGCACCACTTTTTCTGGAAAACCCTGGGCCACATTTCTCCTGGTTAACCTTAGTGTTGGGGTCAGGGTCAGGCTGTAAAGAGGTCAAGCAGGCTCTAAGGAAACCGTCATGTAGGCCTCGAAGCCCACAGTGTTTATGCTTTAAACACGCCCACTCTTGTGACACGCCCACTCTTGTGACACGCCCACTTTGATTCCGCAGATAACCCCTTCTCGAAGGGGCACCGGAGTGAATTCAGCTAAAATGGGTCACGTTTTGGCAAATGAGCGAGATAACCTTTAAACCTGCATTAAACTATCACAACTTCTCTTTTTAAACTAAAACTGTTCAAACTAACCAGGTTAAACATTTCTTTACCCACTTAGGGGAGACCGGGGGCAGTAGCAACAAGGGACGGTTGCAACATGTCATTTTTCATGGCAATTTTATAGTTTAAAACATAAAAGTGTTTAAGATGTATTTTCTGCAGTTGTCTATTTCAGCAATGGTTTTAAAATCCCAGTTTCTTTCAATGTAAATTTTGCATAATTTAGTCGTACAGTGACAACAGGCAAAACAAAAGTTAATTGCCTCACAAATTGTTCTATTATTCTTGTCTCAAAAAGCCAACTGTATTTTATATCGATTAGTCTTTGACATCTTTATGTAAGGTACTCATCAAGTCAGATCTATATTCGGCATTTGATCAAAAAGAATAAATAAATAACACTGTAATATCATTATAACTTACAGTTTTTATTAATTTTGCAATAATATAAATATAAAAATAAAACTTTTTTACAGTGAAATATATTGTATTAATAATATGTTGTAACCACCCAAAACAATGTTGCAACTGTCCCCGGCCCCAGGGTCAGTTGCAACATCTGACTTTTCATTTTCAAATGCAAATTGTGAAGAACGTACATGCTTTAATTGTCTTAAAATTGTTTTGACTATTAACAGACAGATGTAAGTTTATTGTAATAAAATTTGGTTTGTCTGATTCAAACCATCTCTGAGTAACAGAGTCAAATGCAAAAAGTGTTGCAACTGTCCTCGGTCTCCCCTACCTTCACTCATTAAAGTAGAGCTTCAGTCAGGTCTGATTTGGTCAGCTTAATCACTGCAATAAAATAACTGTTTGTTTTTGTCACTTTTACGGCGGATTGCATCAGCTCTGTTACATTATAGAAGGGAAACTTCAAAGCGAAACGTAAATCTGTGGATCTGTGTTTGATTACTCTGGCTGGCTTTCTCAAGGACCAGGATGTGAGACACAAAAATCTGAATTTTAGAACTGAAAGTGAAAGTAGTTAAACTGAATTTTTAATAAACCAAAATACAGTTTCAGAGCAAATTATTTCAGATACACAACATTAAATTCAGTTTCAAACCATTAAATTCAGTTTCAATTTAGTAAAATTCATTTTCAAACCAATGCATTCAATTTCAAATTATGCACATTCAGAGTCAATCTGAGCAATTCAAATTCAATTCCTGCTGATTTATCCCATAGGACGTGGCTCAGCTCCAACCTCAGGGTCAAACGTTTCACCCAATATTTGCTGAAACCCAGCTTCAACCTGCAGGGTGTTATAAATACAATCCAGCAGCTTTTAACACTTTTGTAGTAAAAAAATTAGGGCTGTCAAATGATAAAAAATTTTAATCTATTAATTCCAAGGTAGCTGTGAATTAATCACGATTAATCATGATTAATTTTAAACTTAATATAAAACTTTATTGCGTATTGGTAAAATAAATTACTTGAGTTATTAATTAATRTCTTTATTTTGAAATAAATTTGGTGCTTAAGAAATACATAAAACAATAATAAATCATGAAAATATCACCTCGATTGCACAAAACAACAAAAATCAGGACCTAAAAATGCCTCAAATATATTTGAGTCAGTTAAATTTTGTGCAGAATAATCAGGTTACATCAAAAATTCAAGGTACTCATTCCAAATGAGAACTACATGAGGAACCAGACATGGGTTTTTACGATGTAAAAACAAGTGTGCATTGCCACGTAGCATGTCATTGCCTGCAGCATTGGACTTGCAGAATGATTTGACCAAGTTCAAATGTGTTTTCTATACCAGCTTGTGCCTGTCATGTCAGCAGGTGTTTGTAATTAAGGTAATTGTGTGACAAAATGAAGTTTGAAGAGATTTGTTGTTAAATTTGCTTTAGCTGGGTTTTGAAGCCTGATCTCCCACATGATAGTCCATGACATAGACCATTAGACCAATGGAGCTGTGGCAGAGTATGGTGCCAGGGGTTGGTTTGTATGTGTGCAGAAAAAGGCCACATTGCCAATACAATTATTGACACTAAACCGCAAAATATTACAACAATAGAGCAGTATTAAGACAATGTTATAGTAAAACATCAAAATACAATCATATTAGTATTGTAAACACTGAACTATTGAGATTAAATATTATTAAAGTATGGAGCAGTACCAAGTTGAGTTCAGCATGGGGCAGTATTGGATCATTACAAGGCCCCATTGACTCTCATTATATGAATTTTGAATAAAGTTTAAACATTAATATTTGAAAAACTACAAGTTGTACAGGTACCAAAAGGCATGGCAATCATTTGGCACAGGACCTTTACAGATAGAAATTACAATGGCAGCTGTAGCAGAACGTATGCAGGAGCAGTGGACTTTCAGAATGAACTTTGACCAAGTTCAAATGTGTTTTCTATGCCAGCTTGTGTCTGTCACGTCAGCAGGTGTTTGTAATTAAGGTAATTGTGTGACAAYATGAAGTTTGAAGAGATTTTTGTTAAAGTTGCAGTAGCTGGATTTGAACCCTGATCTCCCGCATGAAAGCCCACAGTGCTCATCATGAGACTATAGGAGATGAGGCAGAGGACAATCCCAGGGATTGGATTGTATGTATACAGAAAAAGTTTACCTTGCCAATGCAATTATTGACATTTAAGTGCAATATATTACAACAATATGACAACATAAAGACAGTATTACAGTAAAACATTAAAAGACAATCATATTAATATTGTAATCACTGAACTACTGAGTTGAAATATTATGAAACTATGGTGCAGTACCATATTGTGTAGATGCAGCAGGGGGCAGTATTGGACCAATACAAGGCTCCATTGACTGCCATTATAATTTTTTAAACATTACTATTTCAAAAACTATAAGTTTTACAGGCACCAAAAGGCATGGCCATCATTTGGCACAGGTGCTTTACAGATATAAATTACAATGGCAGCTCTAGGACAAAGTATGCAGGAGGAGAAGCATGGCAAAGTTGAGATGACTTGGATGGGAATTGAATCACAATAGTGTGCATTGCATTGGCAAGGCACACTGATGAAAGATAGATAAGGTCACAGTTGTCAGCAAAACATAAATATATAAAATAAAATAAGCCAAAAGAAGACAAAAAGACAAACAAAAACTGTACATAATGTGTTACACATGGAGTTATTTTTTAAATTTTCATTTGTTTAACCTTTGTTTGTTTGTAAACTGAGAACCACTTGTCATTTACAAACATGACCTGGCATGCACTGAGTGCATTGCAATATAAAAACCTACATATTCGGCCATAGTAAAGTGATTGTAAATTTTATTCGCAATTAAAATCTTTAATCATGTCCATGCAGCACTAAAATTAGAGTTAACTCGATTAATTTCACAGCCCTAAAAAATTGCAAAGTGTACACAAATAATGAACAGTAAAAATTAATTCCAGGTATTCTAATTATAGGCCACTTTCAGTGCACACCTCAGTCTGTCTGTTAGCAAATATCTCATAAACCACTTGAATAAAGTTTCTGAAATGACTCATTGGATGCACATCTGCAGCTGATTCAGCTTAGAGCCAACCCAGTTAAATAAAAATTGCTTTAACTCATTGATTTTTACAGATATTGAGCTAAAAAACATATGACTTGGTAAAACAGATGTAGTGGATTTAATTAAATAAAAATTCTGTCATCTGCTCCACTCAACCTAATAGAGTAAATGTACTTTACGTTCACTTTACATTAACTTAAAGTCAGTAATGTGTTACCTTTTCTCCAATCAGTTGAGTGGAAACAGGTGACAGAATTTTCTAAATTAAATCCATTATATCTGGTTTTATCTGCGACTCGTTCACAGCACATACTGTAATTGTAACGTCTCATAAACCTTTACCTAAAATGATTCAGTTGTGCTTTCTCCTATTAAGATGATCTTAGTCTAAATCTGTGGAATGTATAAGGCAGCGGGTGATAGGCACTCCTTCAAGAAATGACCTTTCAGTGGATTATTGTTTTAATCCCAGAGTTTATGTCAGTTTAACTCCAAAATTACTGTTCATTTGGTAAAAAGGTTGTGTTTTAGTTATTGTGACAGAAAAACTGCAGGTAAGAATCAGCAGCTCTTCTCTGTTCTCAAACATCATCATCCTCACTCACACTGTTCTGGGTTTTCACACACAGCAAAGATAAACTTTGTACTCGGCACAAAAAGTCAGTAAATTTGTGATTAGATTATTTATTTGTAACAATGCTTATATTGTTGGAAAGTCTGTTAATTTCCCTTTTAAATAGTGCCACATTTGTAAGGAACATGCATATATGGGATGAGCATAGAACTGAGTATTGTGCACATGAAAACTTTGCTAAATCTTCTCTGCCGAACAGCTTATTCTGCTGTTGTTGTTGACTTTTGTTGTGAACTTCTGCTACCTCCAGCTGCTGCCAGTCAAAAGATTTATTACCAAGAAGCATATTTACAATAAAGAAATAATCTACTGTCTTTCCTGCTAAGTTTAGTTTAATGCAGGTTGCTTCTGTTTTTTTGTATAAGTTTGTAATCTGATGGCTGTTAAAGTGTGCGACTTATTTTTGCTTTGACTTCTCAGTTTCAGCTAAAAACAGCCAGCACACAAAAATGTTTTTTTAAGGAATGAAAACTTCTTTTTTTGTGTCACTTCAGTAGAAAACGAAACCAAATATTAGTTTATTTAGTTCTCTTCACTTAAAAAAAGTCACTGATGATGAAGAAATAAATAAAGTGAAGAGAAAATAGAGACAGAGAGAAAAACAGAGAGAGAAGTAATTAGAAAGATAGAAAGATTGAAATAGTGATTAGAAGTATAT